TATCGAAGATTTCTCGGGACTTCTCGGGAGAAGGCAAAGAGGCCTTTTTTTTAGCAAGGAATTGCATCAGTATTCATTAGACAGTAATGAGTGGAAGAAAATGAGGAATTCATAACTGATAGACGGGAATTGCAACTACTAAAAAAAGCTGGCTAAGACATATGAAACACGACATGACAAAAGCACATGTGTCATCTCATACTGACCTCATTAAAATAAGGGAATTTTATGAGGTAGATATAACAAACCACTCAGCTAATCATTTTTCATTGAATAATAATTAATGAGAAATGCAAAAACTTAAGAAACTTTTCTAAACGATTACTTTTCATATTCCTTGCAAAATAAGAGATGTTTGATAGAGAAAGAGAGGGAGAAAGAAGAAATTTTCTTTGTATTGATTTTCCTGCTCGTATATTCTTTTCGTTGTGTTCCACAAAGACATGAGCTTTTCGAAGGGTACAAAATTTGTTTGAAGATTACGGAGAAGAGAAGAGAAGAGAAGAGAAGAGAAGAGAAGAGAAGAGAAGAGAAGAGAAGAGAAGAGAAGAGAAGAGAAGAGGAAAGGGGGGAAGGGAAGGAAAGGAAACTGTTTGCATTCCTCGTCCTCTTCATAAAACATTTTATTCACTTGGCAACAAACATAGAAAGCACGAGTGTCGGTCTTAAGTTGAAGGGACATACACATAATTGTCATTGGTGGACCATCCATGGCCAACTTCAGAGTTCTTATATGTTATCTTCTGCCTTATTTAGCCAGGGATGAAACTACGATGAGAATCAATACGCATACATCAACGGCTTAGAGGTAGCAGTAATATTATTGCTTATTGCTGTAGCTCCAAAGCAGTAATTGTACAATGATTAACAATGCCAAAACATATCTCTTTAAGTGCTACTACTTTGCATGCCAGAAAAATGACTTCCTTAAAAGATTAGCTAATTCGGAACTGCCGAGAAGCTACTGTTGCTGTTGCAGGTCACAATTCGTTATTTGAATGACCGATAATGACTGTTGTGTCCGGAAAGGGAACACTTAGCGGAAGCAAGATAATCATATTTTTTATACGAAAATTACAGTACGAGGAAGTGAAGAAGTGAATTTAAACAAAAATAAAGCATCAGTGGAGAAGAATCATATCATACCCTCGCCAGTTGTAGTGGCCATTTGACTCATATCATGATGATCTACTGTTTTTTCAGTTAAACAATCAATTGCTTTCAAAATCTAATCAATGATGCATGACGATTTCCTTCGAATGAAGGGGATAAAACGAGAAAAACTTTGCCATCTTTTTCTCCAAAGCAATCTTTCGAATGTTATGGAAAAATATGAGAAGACAGAAATCTCAGGCCAGAAGGAAGAATATATACAGATAACTTCTATTCACCTTCTATTTGGACCTCCAAATATATGTCACCTGCTGCAACAGCTAACACGATGAATATGGGAAAACATCGGGCAAGTGCCAACACCCGGTGGGTAGTTCAATCGAAGTATATATGATGATCAGTGCCACCACGACCACCAACATCCATCCCACTACAACTTATCGACCCGACAGCGTCCACCTTAGGCGTATTATGTTTGTGTCCATCTAACTGTTTTGCCTCTGATGGATGGTACGCGAAAAGTAGTAGAAGCTGCCGCAGTAAGGCCTACCATTCATTTTATGATAGAATGATGGATAGATGAAAAGGAATCAGAAAAATGTCGTTGTGGCATCAATGGGAAAGGAAAGGAAAGCAAGAAGATATTTACAATGCCATGATAATAGTGACTGAGATAATAATAGGTAAGTAGGCGGGTGGATGGGTAGGTAGGAAGATAGGTACATAGTAGTGGTAGTAGTAGTATATGTATCGATTCATTGAAGAGATGCGATGAACTAAAGGCCGTCCTTTCGTGTTGACGACGTGTTGTGCCTTGCCTTCATGTTGTGTAGAGAGAGCAGAAGTGTTGCAAGATTTCTTCGAAATTAGAAATTAGAGAAGCAGCCATGAAACGGCTCGAGATCGAGAGCAAGAAGGTTTGGTCCATGAAGGCATAGTTGCATTCTCAGTAGAGTTGCTGCACTGATGATGAGTTAGCATTAAGGATTGAAATGATGATCGAAAGGGTGAATTGTGATATGCTGGAAATCTTAAGGAAGATAGGCATCTGCCTAGAGAAGAATAGGAGAATATTTTATGGTGAGATAAAGGGTCAAGTTGAAGGAGTAATATTGCAGAAGATAGAATGAGATTTTGCCAATCAGAGAAGTATTGTGAAATAATAGAAATATGAAGGATATCATTCTGAAGTTTCGTTTCAGTAGTGCTGCAAGTTTCATAGTTTGTACTTTATCCGAGGATCGTTGTGTCGCTTCGTAACTTTTAGTGATATATAAACATTCAGCATGGAATAGAAAAGACAATATGAAGGGAAGGAAGCTAACCACAAATCGATCGGCGATCAATAATGATTGCTAAGAATTAAAAGAAGTGTAGTGCAGTATGACATACTCCTCTTAATTTTTAGGTTTTAGATTCAAAATCTGTTTCATTTTGATTCCGTAGAGAATGTGACAGAGCAAAGAAATAAATTACTTAAATAACTGAATTGACTGAATCGTGTTGACAAAATGTGGAGAGTTGAAAGGTTAATTTCACGTATTTTTCCATCAACAGATTTTCGTTCCAAATGATGGATCTGTTACATTTTTGGCGAATTGGTATCGCTGACTTTTAGAGATAAGCAAAACGTGTGTTAATATGAAAAAAGATCTTATCTGTATTTTATAGAGAATTGCAAATATATTATTATTTCTCAATATTCCACACAGTTTGTTAGCAATTTACATGAAGCAATTATTCTTGCTGAGGTTTTTATTTTTCTGTTTCCGTTAGCACTTCGACAACTTTGCATGACTCCAAAAATCCAACATCAAACAAACTTAATAGGATGGAAAACTGTTTAGGTGGAAAATCCTTATAAATTTACCAGGCCCTTCATATTGTAATAATGGGTACTAGCTGGACAAAGATAAACTTTTATACCTTTACCCAAAGGATACGTAAAATGACATGTAAGATAGATAAACAAAGCAAAAAGACCGTAAAAGGTCAAACTTTAAGATTACTCATTTGGTGAAACAGAATAAATGCAAGAGACTGGTATTTAGCGATATCATATCATGAGGTTTGCTAATAAGATGAGCTGTTTCTTTTAAATAGCTATGTTTTTTGAGTTACTCGTAGTTTTGACCTTTAGCATTGTGACCCGAGTTATTAATGTGAACTCAACCTGTGGTACCGTGTGACACTATAAATTAGGAGCGCTTGAGATTTGTCACCTTTCTCTAATCTGCACATATCATCTTATGGCTTTCCACTGAATAAACAAATGAAGGACTGTTTTGGATGCTGTCCATGCGTTCATCCCGGTTGAAAGCAGCAAAGCCACACAATCAGAAGACTGAAATAGAAATACCACAACAGGTATAAAGAAGAAAAAAAGTTAGAAATGTTGACATTTTTTTTTGTTCATACTACAAGTGGAATGAATGGTAAAAAAGATAGTTTCCTAATATTCTCCTAAATTTCAAATTATATGTAGTTATTTGAAGATTGATATACTTCACTAATTTCAGATCTTAAAAGTTATGAGAATTTTGTCTCCCACCTTCGATTCTTAAATTGAAAGGTCTTCACTTCCATAAAAAATTCTAAATTCCTTTTGTTTTAGAATAATTATTATTTGTATTCGATATTTGGATTAATTGTACCATGCAAAATCATCACCTTCTAAAAAATTTTGTTTTCACTTATGTCACGATTTTTCATGCTTTTTCTTTAAAAACCATCAACGGTGGAACAAACAACAAATCGAAATAATTAACTTAAACAACTAAAATTATCCACTCTTTCGGGAAGTGGATGACAGTTGCTGGCGAGCACTTGTTTCATCACCAGTAAATGCGATACACTGAATAATATCCAACTGCTCTCGATAATAAAAGACGTATACTATTGACCGAATTTTTATTTAAAGCAGTTGATTTTCTGGAAAACAAAATCTAGTTATTTTCTATTTATTTTAACAAAAAAGCAACACTGTGAGTAATTTTTAATGAATCGAAAACTGCATTTAAGCAAGAGTTTAATGCTTGCATTTCAAACAACTTTGCTTTAATTTTAAAACATAAGAAGTAGCGCTGTAATGAATTTTACTTAATAGGAAAATTCAACAAATTAATTTAATCCATACAATCAAGCATTATGTATAGAACACAGCAAACAGAAGAAATAAATTACAATGCAAATGAAAAAAACTTATATACATGAGATGAATGAAGAATAAGCTAACAACAAGGATAACGACAGATCACGACAGTCACAGATATCATCTATATGCTTTCCGCTTCACTACTATTCAGCAACATTTATGCTTGTACCAATTTTGAGGATTGTAGCCAGCGTTATCATATATTGAAAAATGACTGAAAATAGTGATTATTCGAAATTGTTTTTTATGTTCGAAGACTGATCTGAACATAACTAAACTCCACTTTAATGATTTCAAAGTGTCGCCATATGCTGGTCATCAGGACAAAATCCTTTTTATCATTAAAATTCTAGACGTCTTCTTAATGATATTATATTAGTTTTTTGAACATTTCTTAATCGTTTTTCAAATCAGCAAAGTTGGCATGAAAATTAAAATCTTCCAGTTATTCTTTTAGCTCACAAAAAAGATAAAAGTCTTTTCAGCAAAATAATGATTCAAAACAAAACTGTGATAGAAGCCACCGTAAAGAAATAATGAATGACTTATGAAAAGAAAATGAGATGAATGAATAAGCCATAAAAAATGAAAGTTTCGATAATTAATTCAAAAAATAAATTATTTATTGTTTAGACAATATTAACAAATGCACTGCTGCTTACCGAAATTGCAGATTCATTTGTTTTTCCTTCCAATAGGAAATGAAATGAAAATTGCTGAGTTCTGGGTCACACTAATGCTGCAAATAAATTGTTAAATGCCAATGAAGAGAAACAAATTTCGATTTTTCATGCAATATTACTAAATATAATTAAATTTGGCATCTAATTTTTAAATTATATTTGGAGCAGATTATCCAAAAGCACTCCACAAAATTTGCTTCATTTTTTTATTTTTCTCTTTTCGCATTTTGCTCTGCAGGGGAACTATCGGTTAAATTGCACCTATAACTTTTAGTTATGACAAAGGTCAAAAGGGATTCGTGAAACGTATTTGCTTATTTCTCGAATGTTGTGTCTATAGTACCAGGTGTATTTTTTTTTTGATGTCCAGAAAAATTTCCATACAAAAAAGTGATGTCGAGAAAGGGCTAAAATTTCTTAAAGCAAAGAAAAAAATTATTGCTATTCGAGAATTATTTTAAATTTCAGTATATCTTTCCAAATTTTCCAAGTTTTCACAAATTTCGGCTTTTAAATCCTATCTTACCATAATTGTTTCCGAATTAATGATCCCCATGCACAATAGAGCACAAAGAGCCACCGTAAAGAAATAATTTTCGTTTTGCTCAACATATGCTTTGGAAAGAATTATTTTGAAACTGGAAAAAATGAGAAAAACGGCTAGATCGCTGAAAGGCTTTAAAAAATGAAATGGATATGATCACTTTAAAAATTCTATCCTCTCTTTTCCTACATAATATCTAATTTATTAATCAGGCAATAGGATGCAATAATAGTGAAGAAATCTCTCAGTTCGTCGATGTTTTATATTTCATTTTACGCAAAGCATGAATTAAATGCTTAGTTTTGATTGGAAACAAAAAATTACGGTCATCTAATTGATGGAATAGGTTTTCAATATATTTCCAATAAGTCAGTATAAATTATGTCATTTATCATTTAATGTGTAGTGATTATAAGAAATAAAATTTATTTTAACGACTTGTTTGGAAAAGAAAATTTTTAATTTTGGGATGGAAAAACTCAAGTTTCGTATTTTACAGTAATTTTTTACAGACTAATAAAATTTTAATTCTCTATTTAATTTGTAGAAACTTTCAAGTCGGAAAGCATCATGTTAGCAAATAAACAAATATGTGAATAAACCTGGTGAAGGAAAAAATAAACAATTTATTAAGAAATATAAAACAATTGAAAGTAATTTAATTACTAATATTATTATCACTTTAGAAATAAGTTATTTTACCTCAAGCTTCCTAACTTACTTAGACACAAATGAAAGTTAGAAATAGGAACTTAAAATGTTGAATGTATTACACATCCTTCGTCAGTTAACAATCAATTGGATACAAAGGAAATCTGTAAAATCCATCCTTAGCTGTTAACCTTGTTTGAAGCTCATGCAAAATCTAAAATAATTTCGTACCAAACACTGCGAGCAGCTCCATCAGTAATTCGGAAAAAGATTATAGGATGTTACGAGACTGACGAAAAGTATGACTTCGATCTGTCGAATTTCTGTTATATTTTTATCAGTAAAAAAAACTGTTTATTGTAATGTTCCGTTTTCCTCATACTTTTTCTTCGCTGTTCCCAATTTTCTTCCCAGATAACTTTCGGCACTTAGTACAAACAAAAGATTTAAAGAAGTAGAAATAAAAATATAGACAAAATGTTTTCATTTCTTCTCATCAAAAAGAATACCGCCATAAAAAATGTTGACCTGGGAAAGCTGTTTAGGTGCTTTATGATGGAATCACATCTTACATACTTTTGCTAAAAAAAAAATAGATGGCCTTACCAAGTACATCCATTTTAAAACTTATCTTCATCTGGGAATTTCACCTTCTTCAGCTCTATTCCTGGAATTAGTCCTGGAATTGGGTTTTTTTGAGATTTTTCTGAACTTTGTTTTCACAATTCTAAACAGAAAAAAATGCCACAGTACATTATCAAAATCTGAATTTCATAGACTTTACAAGTTTTTAAAGCACATTCACTTAACCTCTTATTGGTTTATTGAAAATTAAACAGTATCAAAAGCATGATTTATTACAAACGAATCCATAAGGTATTGCATCACTTCTCTGCTTAATAAAAATTCTTCGCCAGGAAGACTTTTTGCAACAAAGAATTCCATACTTGTTGAGAAATTAGTATTCAAAGGATATTTGGCAAACATTATAGCCACTAATCAAGCAAAACATTTAATTAGTTATAATTCAGAAACGTTTAACATTTTTCCCCACTTCATATATAACAGCTTGGACCAAAAGTTCGGACTTCAATACATTAAAAAAAAAGATAATAGTCCAATAATTGCAAAGGCTTCTGCAGTATTTTTCTTGATGATGCAGTGTTCACTTATCGCACATAAATTTGGCATGAAGGCAAAAAACTAGAAAATTTTTGGAGGAAATAATAGGAAAGCATCATTGACTGTGATGTCCTGACAATAAATGACAAAGAATATTTAAATAGTTGTGTTAACATGAATTAATTCATTTTACATATTGCGCTCATTAGGTTAATATTTGCAATGTTATTGAAATAAAGCGTGATTAAAATAAACTATGACTTTGCGTAAGAGAAATATTTTAAAACCTAAATAGGTTTTCACCAAATTCCTTCGTTAGAAGTTTTCGGGTACAAATGAAGTTTTGAAAAATATTCAACAGCGAAAGAATCTGCAAAGTATGAAAAACTGGAACACATGAAGAAATGTTCTACTCCAGCTTGCCTATTTAAGATGTGTTTGGCCTATTTCCGGTTGCTCTAACAACCAACTGACTTTTACTTCGATAAAGAAAAATAACCTAAATAGGTTTTACTCAAAACAGGCAATACTTCAAAAGATATACTGAAAATACTTTGCACATCCCTTAAGTGTATCAAATTCCTTCACCTCCGTAATCCGGACGAGAAAGATAAGCTGCTGTCTGAAAAAAGTTTAATTTTGTGTAGGTTGCAATAAAAAAAAAGCGAAAAAAAAGAATATTCATTGAAGAAAAATCCATAACGACCAAAAAGATAATTCGAAATTTCAATTTATATATATACCTTCCTACTCGAAACAAGCAGATACACTTGCTATATCAAAACTGAATACAACTAACCTTTGTCTGAACATTTTCTAATTTTGGACAATTTGTGATACGATGGCCCAATCCGGAGCAATATGCACAGCCCTTATCATCAGCATTTGCAGAATCATTTGGTTGCTCCAATTCTGGACCACCCATATCTCGAAGGAATAAGGGCAATTCTTGACCCGCTTCAAGCAGTAAAGCTCGTAAATCTTGCAGCACAGATATATCTACAAAATATTACAATGAGTTATAAGTTATCAATTTGATTATTTCTTTAATTCACTTTTGAAAATTCAAACTAACCCGCTCTTCTATTAATGAAGGTTGTCGCCATTCCTTTTCGACCAGAACGCCCTGTACGTCCAATACGATGTACTAAAATACGGAAAAATATATAAGTAAACTAATTAGTACTATCGTTTTTGAAAAATAAATAAAAATATAAACGGGAAATAAAACCATCTGATATGTAATGTCACAGCTATAAAGATATATGAGAGAAATAAATTACCATAATTTTCGATATCTTCAGGCATATCGAAATTAATTACATGCTGAATATTTTCGAAATCTAAACCCTTCGAAGCAACATCGGTTGCTACCAGAACATCTTTTTCACCTCGCCTGAATGCATCTACGCCAGTATGACGGTCCTTTTGGTCTAAAATTCTAACACGTTTGAAGTTTTAAAAAAATTCGTAATAAAATCTTCACTTCGTCTCCAAAGCAAGAAATGATTACTGATTAGCTTAATAATCAAAACTTCACCTTTCCCGCCATGTAAGGAAGCAACATCAACTCCTTTCACTAACAAATATTCATAAATATTGTCCACATCACTCTTTTTCTCCGCAAATATTAAAACTCTAAAACAGCTGAACAAATATGGAAAAAATAAAATGAATGTACAGTACAATTACTGCCAGTAGGTGAACATGATAAGGGAAAACAAACAAAACGATCCTGCTTCCTGTAATTGTAATCCATTTTTTATATAAAAAAATTGTTTAAAATACAAAAATATTTGTACAACATTTCTCTAATTTTCTGCCTTAAAAAATTTGGATTCCTAATCGATTCTTTAACTTCGCAAATTTAAACCAGTAATCAAAAAAAAAAAAAAAAACCGTTACAAAATTAGGGGTGGCTTGTAAAGCTTACATAGAAATACGTGAAACTACATAAACGGCTTTGTAATTATATAAAATAGTCGAAAACCATATCGTATGTAGTTACAAAAAACAAAAAACTAAAGAAATAATTACCTTGGAGCTGTTTTCTGCAAACAATCCAATATCCTAATAAGTTTTTCATCAGCTCGAACATATTCAATTTCCTGAACAACATTTAATGATGCAGCACCAGCACGTCCAACATTTACAATTACAGCACGAACTAAAGCCGATCGAGCAAAGTTCTGTATTTTACGTGGCATTGTAGCTGAGAAGAGTAAAGTTTGCCGCTGACCCTAAACAAAAACAGTACTGATTTGTGTAACGAATAAATTAAAATGAGATGCACAACGAAGCGATTTACAAATTTAGCAAATCAGAGAGAAAAAACTGTTAATAGTAAAAATATGATATAATAAAAGATCCCATATAACAGCATAAACAAAAACACCTTGAAAAATGAAAATATAGTCCTTATTTCTTCTTCGAAACCCATATCAAGCATTCTGTCTGCTTCATCCAGCACCAAGTATCGGCAGACTTGCAAATTGAAAATTTTTTTGCTCAATAAATCTGATAAACGACCAGGCGTTGCAACACACACATGAACACCTCTGCAAATTTATTCTGTAAAAAAATGTCCATAGTGCATATATATTATTTTCGGGATTTATTAAAAAGGGACTATTAAATATATAAATTATTTTACCTTTCAAAAACCCTAGCCTGTTCACTAATTGGTAACCCACCAATACATAGACCAACTCGAAGTCTAGGAAACTTCGTGCCATCGCAAATATTCTCAAACAACTTTTCGATGACATCATGGATCTGCTTCGCTAATTCACGCTAAATAAATTAGCAAAACTCTGCATCTCTTTCATTTTATTAACAGATCATAGCAACAATTTTTCTTCAACATTAATAATGTATCAACAGTTTTTCTCCATGGGTATAAATTGCTAAAAATTACCGAAGGTACAATAATTAAACCATATGGCCCTTCACCATGTCGAAATGGTAGGGATACTTCCTGTTCCAAGCAAAACATAATCAATGGTAATGCAAATGTCAAAGTTTTACCAGAACCGGTTGAAGCTATACCAATCATGTCGCGTCCTGAAAGTCTGAAAAATTCGAGAGTCATTATTATCAAGCACACTACATATAGATAGAGGGAATGTAAGAAAACATACGCAACTGGTATTCCCTGCATTTGGATAACAGTTGGACAAATGATCTTCTTATCACGTAAAGCTTTGATTACTGGAGGAGGAAATTTCATCTCCTGAAAACCCAAAATTCATTTGAAGAAAATATCCGCTCCCAAACATCTTTCCCATCAGTTCTACGCTGAATGTAGAGTAATTAACATTTTTTACTGATTGAAATTGCTTGAGTCATGATTACTCGATATTAAACATGTAAAATATAACGGATGTAACAGAATTTTTTTTCTTGATTCGTGAATAAGGATACTGCTTTTACTTAACAAAAGAATAAATCTCCAAAAACTAACAATGAAACTACCAATTGGTGGAGGTACATTTTCACCATCTACCAAAATTCCTTTCTTCCGGCGCATTGTCGCATGCTCCTCGTCACTCACTGCCAATATATGGCGGGGAGGATGCCAACTGAATAAATTTTCTTTGAGAAAAAATAAGAGTTCGAACCAATGTTAAGTTCTCTTTGTTTTCATAAAAAACTGACATCGAGAAATTTAACTAGAAAAGTGGCATAAAATTTATACAACAAAACCTCGTCTTAATTGATTCATCGTATCTGACACCTTTAGCAATTTCAGCAACAGCCATAAGAGCTAAAAACTAGAAGGTTTGGAAATAATGCAATATCCATAAACTCTCTATTGACTCCTTTTTTCCTTATATATATATATATATTTTCATATATATTACTTTAGAAAAATAAGAGATCATTACTACCTGTTCCAGGCGCAACACTTTCCAGTAATTTTTGCTCCTCTTCTCGCTTCTTTTTTTCCGAATCTTTGTCTCCTTAAAGAAATTTAAAATTTAAACTGCTAGTTAAAATACCAAAATAACTTTGGGCACTCACCAACTTCTGCTTCCAAGAGTTCATTATGTTTTTCAAGAAGTGATTTTTTCGCTTCTTCTGCTTTTCTTTCCTCCTCTTTTTTGCGCCGCTTTCGCTCGAAAAACTCCAAATCTTCTTGTTCTGTATTCACATCTGGAGCGCCACCTTTTGCATGCAATACTTGTTTCAGCAAGGCTCTTCGATGCATCTTAAAGTCTTCAGCGATATTATGCAAATAACAAAAAATGAACTGTGTTACTGAGACAAGAAATCAGCATAATATCATTACATTAAGCTTGCTGCAATAATTTTGATCAGTCATGGAAGTTTCTTGTAAAAAACCTAATACTTCTCATTTCAAAAAAAAAAAAAAAAAAATTACATAGTTGAGGCTTTAATTTCAAAATAGAAGTAGGGTCGGAAAGAGTCGGAAGTCTTGAGTCAGGATTCAGAGTACATATAACTTAGTGAAAATTACTTTTTCTTTCTTCCGTAGTCTAGCAGGGATAAAGACATCATCCATACTAGTATCTTCTTCATCTGATAAAAGACCTTCCCGCCGTCTTCGCGCTTCCTCCTCTTCTATTTGTTTACGTTTTGCCTGCAAACATTTATATGCAAGTGATCAAAAGCTATGAAAAACATATGCGCATATATTTAAAGTAAAGTAGTCGAATCTAGCTCATTTTTAACACATTTTCAAGTATTAAGAAACTTCTTATCGAACAAATAATAAAAATGTCACCGACAAAATAATTCACATAAATTTCCTAATGTCAAAGCCGCCGACAGTTAAAGGTTAGGAAATAGTGTGATAAATATACCTGATATTTCTGGATTGCAAGCAGTACATCCCGACCTGAAGATGTCCCTGCCTCATCTTCGACACCATTCACAGCAACCATAGCTACAGACTCTACTGCCAACAATTTCAGATTCAACGAGGGAATCCGGCACGACGATACCTTGCTCGACATGAAATAAACGATCCCACCGAACCGCTACATAGTCATTCATCCGTTTATTGTGGAAATGAATGTGTTGTGAAGAAGGATTTTCTTATATTTCCTTTTCTATTCTTTTTATTAGCCGCTATAAGTTATAAAGTAAAGACATCCGTTATTGTATCTTTATTTCTTTCATAAGAATAACGGAAGCGAAGGATATAATTATATTGAACAGAATTTCAACAAAGTTATGACACTGTTCAGATTATATCAATTAAGTTTGTCATTAATCATTCTCATTGTTTCGCGATTGATTTCTTCATTCATTAATAGCTGTGAAGAGAATTCGGTGTAAAGAACTTAATTCTTAGAGAATGTTTGTTGCTGGAACTATTTTCTTTTTCGAAAGTAACCTAGTAATCTTTCGAGTAAGTTAAATCCAAAGTAAATTAAGTTACCTATCTCTAACGGAAAATGCATACATGTCTGTCTCTAAACTCAAAATACTTTCCTCATTTATCTGGCTTTTGAAGTACTCCGGGTACATAATATATAAAATTGATCTTGAGAACTAACTTTAAATAATATTTGGTTGCTCATTAGTGTTTCACTAGTCCTTCTGATTCCCTCATCAAATTCTTGAGTATCTCTTCTTGCAGCATCCGTAACTGTTTGATTTATCTTCAAAAATATTCCAAGATTTAAGTGAAAATATGATATTTAATGAGTATTATTATAAACCAGATAGGAATTGCAGCATAGATACTAAATTGTATACTAGTATTTTGAAAGAGAAGGGAAGGATCTATGCCACTTTCTCATTTGCACAATAACTACATTTATATATTTGACTCAAAGTTATTCAATAAATTCAACAGTAATTGAATAATTTAACACATCAAAGTCTGATAGAATTTCCATCAGTCTTCGAGCTACACTTACAGTTACCATCGAATTCTTCCTTAATAGCCTTTCAGTCTAATCTAGGCATTAAATTACAGGTATATTTAAATATACCTGTTGTATATTTTCTACATCAAGCAGTTTTTCATTCATTGATTGCATGTGTTCAAATGATTTATTCGTAAGATTTTTTACATATGCCACAGTGAATAACGCCAATGCTATCTGAAATAGGGGTTTCCCCTTGTTTTTCATAAAAAATTTAAGCTCATGTCTTCTGGGGAGAAAGGGAGGTGAGGTGACAGTTAGATGAACAAACATTGTACTTGCAACAGCAGTAACCAATTAAAAATATCAGTTAGATTTGCAACGTATGAAGTACTGTGCGGAAGAGTTGAATTCTTTTGAAAGTATAAGAAGAGATAAAAATTAACCTCTGAAAAGATAAGCAAAGTGAGAATAATAGCAGGGAGAACCGCTTGTGCTGCATCAATGAATTCTGTCGTGTACAGAATTCTGCTACCATTCACATTTCCACTAATTTTAATAACTTTGAAGTAAATTTCTCAATGAAGGTTTTTTTTCAAGAAGTACATAACGTCTTATTGTCATAAATGAAATTTAAGTGAAGGATAATCAAAATCTCGAATAGTCGTGAAGTTATTTAAAAATGTTTACTTAAACCAAGCAATCAAATATTGGTTTTTCCAGCAGAATACTTAAAAGTAGTTGAACTAAGTAAATGAAGGTACAGATGAGAAATTTTTTTTCTTCCACGTTTCGAAGTCCTCTTGAAAATAAGTTTAGTGCAAAATTGGCGGAATGTTAATTTCAAACGATATACCGTCCAATCATTGTCAAACATCTTTAAAACTTCAAATACCCTAAATTCAGGACTTTGTACAGCGCTATCAATAACGGTAATTTTGATTAAAATTACTTAACACAAGATAATTCTTATATATTAGAACCTTTCCATTTTCTTCAAATGAGCAACCGCTTGTTTCTTTCAAAGACATAGAAATACCTTAGAATTAGTAGTATATAATTGAAACTGCTCCGTTTGGTAGGTTTTTTTTTCACATATGTAAATTTAGAAGTGTTAAACATCTCACGAAACCTTTGTGTGGATAGAGTGCTGTATGCGGACTTCCTTGCTTGTGTTAGGCAAAAGAACATGTTTATAGAAACTAAATTTATCTACCGAGTTCCATATCATCCAATCTATACAGTTGAGATTAGATCATAATAACTTAGTTCAACCAATAATTTGAATAATGAAATAATTTTGAATTAGGTAGAATGACTAACTTAATTTTAGAGAGTCTCATTTAATTCAATGTTTAATTTTACTAATTGGCGCTAGGGAAAACATAATGATTTCGAAATGTAATCATGACGAATCTTTTGCTATACGAAGTTAATGCTAAAGATAGTAGCATAATAATTTCTTGGCCGTGAAGTAATATGATTAGGTGAATTCTGAGAAAGCGATTTCGAACTAATCTTTTTTAATAAGTTCGGGTGCAGTTGTGTTAACTGATCAGGAAAACAAATGAGAAAAAAATTTGAAAAGTAGGAAAGGTAGAACATTTAGCACTAAGTAGCTATTTCTATCGAGTATGGATTAAGGAGTTTTGTAATATTTTCTACTACTGGCCAAATTTTTTATGGATCTGAATCGTTTCTTTTAGAAAGCTATCATTGACAGTATCATTTGTTAGTAAATAGATCGTCCCACGAAATGAGGAATTTTCATGGACAAGTGAATAATTCATTGCTTTATGTAATTTTCAACTGCTAAATTGTTGATCCCAGTTTCTTTTTCAAATTCCTTTTGGTTTTTTTACATTGCTTACAACTTATTTTAACTCTTTATTCCAAAAAAATAGTCGGAATTTGTGGCTATGGATTGGTGATTCGAAATTCATTTCCGCAGTTAGTAGAGGACAGTCGTCACTTCTGAAGTTGTCTTCATTCCTCGAACACTCGATTTAGTAACGATAGTTAGTTTTAACTGTTAACGTGAACACAAGTCTGAAATCAACTGTAGTTATCATTTCATATAAGAAATTTGTCTGCTAAGAGCTTTCAAATGGAAATAGTAATGGAAAAGTTCAAAAATCACATAAAGGAGAATGTAGAAAGCTTTAGAGAAAATGAAAAAGCATAAGATGAAAAACTCTTTTACGGAAATGATCGTTTATTTCAAGTCAACCTTACAAGGAATGGAAATCTTCTGACAGTGAGTGACATGATGAACTTAATAATAGACTGTAGTGAAATGAACAGCCATCTTGCATTGTCGGATGCATAGCTGAGTTCTTGATGATCTTCGCCCACAAACATCTTGTGCATATTAAGCCTAAGAATGAATATAAAAATCAAGAGCATGCAGCTAGAAATGAAAATTTCCTCCAAATAATTAAACCTGAACAAATTGGAATACAGAATATAATTTTTTATTTATCAGCTTTTTCCATTTCAATTTTTTCTCTGCAAATAATAAATTCTTCTGACTTTTTATGGAAAGGTTCAGGAACTTCGCATGCCGCAGCTAACCTCTCTTTGTTATTTTCTTCATCACTTTAGCAGCTACAAACTGAATTTTCTTAGATTTCTTTTTTGACAATAGCTATGAAATATTGCAATTGACTGTTTAAAAAAAAAGGAATCAATTTTTGCTTATTTAGTTAGCTCGGCAATGAATTTCCCGATCGTTTCCCCTATAGTAACTTTATCTCTTTGTTATAATAAAATTAAATTACATTTGTATTTTATATCCTTACTTGAGTTATTAAAAAGTTGTGTAGGACAACCATTCACAATAAAAAAATTTCTTAACAAGAAAATGAATAAAGAAAACAGAGACATGAGATATTAGTATGCTAATGTCTTACTAATTTCCGAAGAAGTATCTCTTACAGATGATCCTTCTTCATCCCTTTTATTCAATCGACTCCAGGAATATTTTCATAAATGAAATAAGAAAACAAATGATGGATCACATTAGATGTGCAGAAATGTCTTTTCTTGATTTCAGAAAAGAAAATAGGAAATAAATTTCTAAAAGATCAAAACTCATATGATGTAACATTAATACAAAAAAGCGAAAGCATTTACAAATCAGAAACTGCAGTACAGGCCAAGTGTAAAGTGCAGGACAATGTAATTTGGCAGAAATTAATAACTATTAAGTTAATTTAATGCAATGTCTTGTTATTGTATCGCCGAGAATTTTCTACCAACTCATTCTATCGATCTTCGAGATTTCCTATCAACAAATTTAATTAAGGTCGTCGAACAAATGCAGACTTTTCGATTTTAAAGTTCTCATGAGTTAGCAAAAAAAATTCCTACACAAACTTTGAAAGAAAAAATATATATGGGTGAAGCTCATAATACTTTGTGCAAATCAGTTCAGGAATTCAGCAAATGGAATGCAAACGTATATCAAAAGATTAAAGAAAAATTGGATCAAATAATTTTGAAAAAAGGCGAAATTTTCTTGGAAACTCTTCAGATTCTAAACAAATGAATAAATGGAATCAGAATTAGATTTCCAGTTTCAGACAATATAAAATAATCGGATAATTATCATTCATTTTCTTCAAAAATAACTAAAGGAAAACAATCTGATTGTTCACTTCAAAAACAGTTAACAAAGTAACGATTCTGGAAGGAAGTCTATCTACAGAACTTCTGGAAGATCAGTTTTAAGAGAAAGAAGTAAAATATATTTCATAAATTCATTGTCTTTATTCTACGGAAAAATTAATTTTCAGATGGATCGCCAATATAGAATTATTTTGAAATCCAATGAAGTCTGCCATATTGGTTGAATGCTTTTAATGAACAAAAGCTAAATATCTTCTTTCGCTTCCATACAGATTTAAACAAAGATAAAGATTATAATGAACCTCGAACTGTTCGATTTTCGAAAGTACTCGAAAATTTCTGTTTCGCTATTTGAGAAGCATAATAAAAGTCTGATAGGAATAAAATAAAAATTGAAAAACACTTTCTACCAGTAATGAAGCTCAAACTGAGAACCAATGGTAATGTAAATTGAATTTATTTCTTCAAAAATAGAAAAACTTTAGCCAATAGTTGAGAAAAACGAATTACTGCTTTCGAAGATTGTGTGGAATTCAAACACTTTCAATCTTATTCTCTTCAAATTTCAATAAATGTAATCATTTACAAAGCAAACCTGAAGCGTTCGCTAGCAATAAGCTATCAGCTTACAATCGTCTTAAGTTTTCAAATATTTTGGATAGTCTAAGCGCTAGCCATTTGAGGTTATTAAAGAACATTTCATACGTTTTCGTGTTTCCTCATACATAAAATTCCGGTTGCGGAAATTGCTTATTTTGAATTACGGCAGTTGCTAATTCATAGCTTGATTTCGACCTCCAGCATCTAATCAGCCGGAAAATGAATGCACAGAGCAATGTCAAAATAAATATCGAAATGGCAGCAGTGATAGAGATATGATAAAACGACTCCATAACAGCACTTGGTGAACCTGAAAAACAACACTTGCTGGGCCTAAAGTAATAGAACAGCATTACGATCCCTATTTCACCTTGTTAACAACTATGATGGAACTTGTAAAGTATGAAGACAAAAGAACGAATCGTAGAGAAGATGCAGCTGCAGAGCGGAAAGAACGGAGGAAAGGAATGAAATGAACGAACGCCAGCCTTATATATAGGCCTGTCCTAAGCTAAGTCTGTGTAAGACATGAAGCAAAGACTTACAAAGTGCCTCATTGCTGCAAGGACAACAAATTGGCAATTTTGGCCAAGGCTAACTGGCCATGCAGTAAACCAAAACCGACTAGTATAGCTTGCAACAACTTGACCAATGTTTATTAAACAAAGGGATAAACAAACGAATAATTGGACGCAATAAATGAATTTAAGTAAATATAAATAGAGAGAGAAAGAGGGAGAGGGAAAGAGAGAAGGAGGGAAAAGCTACAATTTGTCCATTTTTTTGAAATGATGAAATAATTTCTCTGCTTGCTACACTAGTGCGGAATTTCTTCTGAGTAGTGAATCAAGTCCATTCCTTCATCGTAGAAATAATATTGACAACACGGACATTGCAATACAGACCCACAACGTTAGTCACCACAGATTCTTAGTTATAAATGTACTACCAAATTAGTAAAATCATTATCACAATGACTGGTGAAATTTGTTTATAAAGCGACCATACATTCTCTAATCAACCGATTTCAATCGACTCATCCAGTCGATCGGAAGGTTTGATTTTCTTAAATTTGTAAACTTCTATTTTTCATACAAAATTAATGTGCATAAAATCAAAACTAAAAAACTATTCGTTCATCCTTTCTTTGCGCATAAATCTTCTTCAAGATACTGTGAGTCAACTACCATTGGAAATTCTTTCTAGTTTTTTGGAGCGATATTATAGGCTCATTTAACTTAATAAGAATTAATGAACTGTGAGTGATTAATTTAATCGTCTGAATTAAAAGCTTTTTTTAAATTCAACGTTCAAAATTAACGAGTGTTGAGTATTTTCTAATGAATTGATTTATAAGATTTAAATCTCAGGATCCATAATCGATATTAAACAAGTTTATGATGTGGACATTAACTGGAGAATTGCATTGGTTTTAATGTTCACCCGCTGTAACACGAATAAAATTACTTAGAACAAATATTCTCGTTGCTGTCAAGTGAAGCTGAAAATTGGTGATAAAATGAAAGGAAGTCATTGCAATGTATTCATAGTGCATCATCACTCACTCATCACACGTCCAATCACTACTCATCATCATCCACATTCACTTCATTCTGTCACGGTGAACCTTTGAGACAGTGTCACCACGTACATGTCAACAAAGAAAGAATATAGCGAAGGAGAAATGGAACAAAGACAATTGCAAGCATGTGATCGCTCTACAGTTCAATGCAATTCTTGTGAATTTTGTTTAAATTAGAGCAGAAGTAATAAGTACATTTGCGCTTCATCAGGCAAGATTACTGAGGACAGAGAATAAGAGATGAGATTTAAGCTTTATTGGACTATTTTGATTGCTAATAAGTTATGAAGCACTAGAGACTGCTGTCAATAAGTATCTTTTCGGTAGAAATCAAGGCAACACTTTTATTCGTAACCATTGCTCATCTCTTCTAGCATAAATAAATTTAATTTATTGCAGCAAAAGGCCAATTTAAGAATGTAATGGATTTCTCCGCCTGAATATTTTACTAATTTTTATCCATCAATCAAACATACCAACACACAACGCATAATTTCAGTTTGTTCGAGCGGAAAATGATGAAATCTGATTTGAAGGAAATGAGTGAAGAAGCAATTAAACAAATCTCTGATGGCAAATTGTCTTTTTTTGAATTTGAAATGAAAAGCCTCTTCTATCTATTACTCACACACATTTGTTGAAATGTTCATTTCAAAAGAAATTCCATCTCAAAGGTTGTTAAAAAAAGCTATTTCAATCACTAGATACCATCATAGTGATCTGATAAATGAGTAGAAGGGTTTTCGAAATTGAAGAAAGCTAACGTTTTAAGATCTTTCCCATCTTAATATCTCTCGAAAATAATAACCAGTTAAAAACTGATAAAAATACTGTTAGTGTATTTGACCCATCTGTCTAGCCTAGCAGAACTACGAATAGGACAGTACCATCCATAGGTAACTATAGCCAAATTATTCAATTGCTTTTCTGCTGTTTAGTTGCAGTTATCATCTCTCTTTGAATTTAGCTTCAGAATTATTCAATTATTCAGTGGATCCGGTTAATATGTATAGTGCCGGCAGGGCACACACTGGATTGGCTGTGGTATTCGTTACGACAAATTTGTCTGTGACACTTCTTTATCATAGAATATCAATTCAAAATGGGAATTGTTAAGCAAAGAGTTAGCTTGTCACTTTAGTCTTAAAATTTTTACTAAATAATTTAAGAGCTGAAAATGCAGTCTATCATTGCTCTATTCGTTCAAATCAAAGAAACGTATCTCCTATCAGAATTCATGATATTTGGCTTACATTTTGCCTTAATAGATATTCATATTACTTTCAGGTGAATATTCCTATGAACAAATAATGTTTGCACTTGGAAAAGAACTTGATAAATTTTTATCCTTAAAAATCCCTTGTGAAGAAATGATCAAACTTTGCATGTTCATGTTTCGTTATGGAAGTATACTGCCGAAGTGCATCTTTTACACTGCTTCAAGTTCTAACAATAAGTTAAATTCATTTATTTCGGTCTGAAGCTTCATTTTCCTTTGAATTAATCTTTTTCTTTCTCCAGCCATTTTCTATTCTTAAAAAATCATAGAGAAGCAACACAGATAATGTTTTAAAAATTAAAAATGCGACAGATCAGAATTCATGGAAAATTTTTCTGAGAATAATATAATAATAATGATGGCTATTTCGTTCCAATGTCAACTTATCATAATTGATATGATATTTCTTCATAATATTTGTTAGTGCTAAATAAACTGTAACAGACTAACCAGTTGGTGATGTAACAAAAGTTATTTGGTGAGCTAACAGTTTAGGGTCAATAGCAATTCGGCAAGTAGTGATATAGGGATCACATTCATAATATGTCGTCTCTCAACTTAAAGACAGAAAATATTTGTGAGCTAGTAAATTGATAATTAATTGCAGGAAAGGAATAATAGAAATGTGTCACTCCGTTGTTTCTGCTTTAATAGGAAATGCTTAACATACTAACACTTCCTCAATTGTTGCAGTTAGTCTTAAAAAAACTAATTTCAACAAGACTAGTCACTTCGACTAGTAGTATTGAAATATAATGGAATTTTAAAAAATACATAAGTTAGCTGGCAAATTTC